GAGGTGAAACCACCTTCCCCTGGGAGGACACACCAGTAGGGAGGTGAAACCACCTTCCCCTGGGAGGACACACCAGTAGGGAGGTGAAACCACCTTCCCCTGGGAGGACACACCAGTAGGGAGGTGAAACCACCTTCCCCTGGGAGGACACACCAGTAGGGAGGTGAAACCACCTTCCCCTGGGAGGACACACCAGTAGGGAGGTGAAACCACCTTCCCCTGGGAGGACACACCAGTAGGGAGGTGAAACCACCTTCCCCTGGGAGGACACACCAGTAGGGAGGTCAGACCACCTTCCCCTGGGAGGACACACCAGCAGGGAGGTGAAACCACCTTCCCCTGGGAGGACACACCAGTAGGGAGGTCAGACCACCTTCCCCTGGGAGGACACACCAGTAGGGAGGTCAGACCACCTTCCCCTGGGAGGACACACCAGTAGGGAGGTGAAACCACCTTCCCCTGGGAGGACACACCAGTAGGGAGGTCAGACCACCTTCCCCTGGGAGGACACACCAGTAGGGAGGTGAAACCACCTTCCCCTGGGAGGACACACCAGTAGGGAGGTCAGACCATCTTCCCCTGGGAGGACACACCAGTAGGGAGGTGAAACCACCTTCCCCTGGGAGGACACACCAGTAGGGAGGTCAGACCACCTTCCCCTGGGAGGACACACCAGTAGGGAGGTGAAACCACCTTCCCCTGGGAGGACACACACAGTAGGGAGGTCAGACCACCTTCCCCTGGGAGGACACACCAGTAGGGAGGTCAGACCACCTTCCCCTGGGAGGACACACCAGTAGGGAGGTGAAACCACCTTCCCCTGGGAGGACACACCAGTAGGAAGGTGAAACCACCTTCCCCTGGGAGGACACACCAGTAGGGAGGTGAAACCACCTTCCCCTGGGAGGACACACCAGTAGGGAGGTGAAACCACCTTCCCCTGGGAGGTCACACCAGTAGGGAGGTGAAACCACCTTCCCCTGGGAGGACACACCAGTAGGGAGGTGAAACCACCTTCCCCTGGGAGGACACACCAGTAGGGAGGTGAAACCACCTTCCCCTGGGAGGACACACCAGTAGGGAGGTGAAACCACCTTCCCCTGGGAGGTCACACCAGTAGGGAGGTGAAACCACCTTCCCCTGGGAGGACACACCAGTAGGGAGGTGAAACCACCTTCCCCTGGGAGGACACACCAGTATGGAGGTGAAACCACCTTCCCCTGGGAGGACACACCAGTAGGGAGGTGAAACCACCTTCCCCTGGGAGGACACACCAGTAGGGAGGTGAAACCACCTTCCCCTGGGAGGACACACCAGTAGGGAGGTCAGACCACCTTCCCCTGGGAGGACACACCAGTAGGGAGGTGAAACCACCTTCCCCTGGGAGGACACACCAGTAGGGAGGTGAAACCACCTTCCCCTGGGAGGACACACCAGTAGGGAGGTGAAACCACCTTCCCCTGGGAGGACACACCAGTAGGGAGGTGAAACCACCTTCCCCTGGGAGGACACACCAGTAGGGAGGTGAAACCACCTTCCCCTGGGAGGACACACCAGTAGGGAGGTGAAACCACCTTCCCCTGGGAGGACACACCAGTAGGGAGGTGAAACCACCTTCCCCTGGGAGGACACACCAGTAGGGAGGTGAAACCACCTTCCCCTGGGAGGACACACCAGTAGGGAGGTGAAACCACCTTCCCCTGGGAGGACACACCAGTAGGGAGGTGAAACCACCTTCCCCTGGGAGGACACACCAGTAGGGAGGTGAAACCACCTTCCCCTGGGAGGACACACCAGTAGGGAGGTGAAACCACCTTCCCCTGGGAGGACACACCAGTAGGGAGGTGAAACCACCTTCCCCTGGGAGGACACACCAGTAGGGAGGTGAAACCACCTTCCCCTGGGAGGACACACCAGTAGGGAGGTGAAACCACCTTCCCCTGGGAGGACACACCAGTAGGGAGGTGAAACCACCTTCCCCTGGGAGGACACACCAGTAGGGAGGTGAAACCACCTTCCCCTGGGAGGACACACCAGTAGGGAGGTGAAACCACCTTCCCCTGGGAGGACACACCAGTAGGGAGGTGAAACCACCTTCCCCTGGGAGGACACACCAGTAGGGAGGTGAAACCACCTTCCCCTGGGAGGACACACCAGTAGGGAGGTGAAACCACCTTCCCCTGGGAGGACACACCAGTAGGGAGGTCAGACCACCTTCCCCTGGGAGGACACACCAGTAGGGAGGTGAAACCACCTTCCCCTGGGAGGACACACCAGTAGGGAGGTGAAACCACCTTCCCCTGGGAGGACACACCAGTAGGGAGGTGAAACCACCTTCCCCTGGGAGGACACACCAGTAGGGAGGTCAGACCACCTTCCCCTGGGAGGACACACCAGTAGGGAGGTGAAACCACCTTCCCCTGGGAGGACACACCAGTAGGGAGGTGAAACCACCTTCCCCTGGGAGGACACACCAGTAGGGAGGTCAGACCACCTTCCCCTGGGAGGACACACCAGTAGGGAGGTGAAACCACCTTCCCCTGGGAGGACACACCAGTAGGGAGGTGAAACCACCTTCCCCTGGGAGGACACACCAGTAGGGAGGTGAAACCACCTTCCCCTGGGAGGACACACCAGTAGGGAGGTCAGACCACCTTCCCCTGGGAGGACACACCAGTAGGGAGGTGAAACCACCTTCCCCTGGGAGGACACACCAGTAGGGAGGTGAAACCACCTTCCCCTGGGAGGACACACCAGTAGGGAGGTGAAACCACCTTCCCCTGGGAGGACACACCAGTAGGGAGGTCAGACCACCTTCCCCTGGGAGGACACACCAGTAGGGAGGTGAAACCACCTTCCCCTGGGTGGACACACCTGTAGGGAGGTCAGACCACCTTCCCCTGGGAGGACACACCAGTAACCTTCCCAGAGAACAAGAAAGCAGCAGAAAGATTGTCGTAGAGGCTGCTACAGAAAGTTTTCTCATCACAAACTTGAGAGGACTAGTGTGTGTGTGTGTGTGTGTGTATGTGTGTGTGTGTGTGTGTGTGTGTGTGTGTGTGTGTGTGTGTGTGTGTGTGTGTGTGTGTGTGTGTGTACATACACCACTGATGAACCTCGGGTTGGATAAGAAATCTGTAAATTATTTATATGGACTTAGTACAAAAACAAACTTAGTTTATAATGAGTGACAGATGTCCAGTTGGAGGCGTCACGACACACACACGGAGCCGTGTATGTCTTGGTATATACACTGTATGTCTTGGTATATACACTATGTCTTGGTATATACACTGTATGTCTTGGTATATACACTATGTCTTGGTATATACACTATGTCTTGGTATATACACTGTATGTCTTGGTATATACACTGTATGTCTTGGTATATACACTATGTCTTGGTATATACACTGTATGTCTTGGTATATACACTGTATGTCTTGGTATATACACTGTATGTCTTGGTATATACACTGTATGTCTTGGTATATACACTGTATGTCTTGGTATATACACTGTATGTCTTGGTATATACACTGTATGTCTTGGTATATACACTGTATGTCTTGGTATATACACTATGTCTTGGTATATACACTATGTCTTGGTATATACACTGTATGTCTTGGTATATACACTATGTCTTGGTATATACACTGTATGTCTTGGTATATACACTATGTCTTGGTATATACACTGTATGTCTTGGTATATACACTGTATGTCGTCGTATATACACTATGTCTTGGTATATACACTGTATGTCTTGGTATATACACTATGTCTTGGTATATACACTATGTCTTGGTATATACACTGTATGTCTTGGTATATACACTGTATGTCTTGGTATATACACTGTATGTCTTGGTATATACACTGTATGTCTTGGTATATACACTGTATGTCTTGGTATATACACTGTATGTCTTGGTATATACACTATGTCTTGGTATATACACTATGTCTTGGTATATACACTGTATGTCTTGGTATATACACTATGTCTTGGTATATACACTATGTCTTGGTATATACACTGTATGTCTTTGTATATACACTATGTCTTGGTATATACACTGTATGTCTTGGTATATACACTGTATGTCTTGGTATATACACTGTATGTCTTGGTATATACATTGTATGTCTTGGTATATACACTGTATGTCTTGGTATATACACTGTATGTCTTGGTATATACACTATGTCTTGGTATATACACTGTATGTCTTGGTATATACACTGTATGTCTTGGTATATACACTATGTCTTGGTATATACACTGTATGTCTTGGTATATACACTGTATGTCTTGGTATATACACTGTATGTCTTGGTATATACACTATGTCTTGGTATATACACTGTATGTCTTGGTATATACACTGTATGTCTTGGTATATACACTATGTCTTGGTATATACACTGTATGTCTTGGTATATACACTGTATGTCTTGGTATATACACTATGTCTTGGTATATACACTGTATGTCTTGGTATATACACTATGTCTTGGTATATACACTATGTCTTGGTATATATGCTTTATACTGAGACATTACTTTAATTCTTACTTTTAGATCTTTAAGTATTCTTGACTGGTGGTGAACAGGCTACGTGTAGTAGAGAGGCTTGAAACCCCACTGACGAACCATTATTATGAGCAACAAACCCTTATGTTCACTTGACATTCCCCTTAGACACCACAATGTAACATACACGTCTCTGTAATGCTATTAATGAACGGAGAATCGAGCTTCCTCCACTATGTGCTGACTCCCAAACATTTAAAACTCACTTGACACAAATATATTTGTACTCTCCTGAAGAGGACCTCAGACCGAGGTCAAAATATATACCGAACCACATCCTAGGGAATGAGAGGTAAACAGACTTGATCAGTGGAAGAGATGGGTAACTCAAATTCCTGGGATCAAGATCCCTTGACTGACACAAGGGTCAGTCTCTTCTCTGAAGGGAGGAATGACAATGTTACTCACCCTCAGGGTGATTCAGGAGGTCAGGAAGGTCCTTAAATACCGTCGCACAGGTCTCCTTCACCGTCGTCCCCGCCTGCGTGGCTGGCCAGCAATACAGTGTGTCCCAGGTGGTGCTACAGTACACTCCTGCAGGTGGTGACAGTGTTAGTAACAGGTGTCCCAGGTGGTGCTACAGTACACTCCTGCAGGTGGTGACAGTGTTAGTAACAGGTGTCCCAGGTGGTGCTACAGTACACTCCTGCAGGTGGTGACAGTGTTAGTAACAGGTGTACCAGGTGGTGCTACAGTACACTCCTGCAGGTGGTGACAGTAACAGGTGTCCCAGGTGGTGCTATAGTACACTCCTGCAGGTGGTGACAGTGTTAGTAACAGGTGTACCAGGTGGTGCTACAGTACACTCCTGCAGGTGGTGACAGTGTTAGTAACAGGTGTACCAGGTGGTGCTACAGTACACTCCTGCAGGTGGTGACAGTGTTAGTAACAGGTGTACCAGGTGGTGCTACAGTACACTCCTGCAGGTGGTGACAGTGTTAGTAACAGGTGTACCAGGTGGTGCTACAGTACACTCCTGCAGGTGGTGACAGTGTTAGTAACAGGTGTACCAGGTGGTGCTACAGTACACTCCTGCAGGTGGTGACAGTGTTAGTAACAGGTGTACCAGGTGGTGTTACAGTACACTCCTGCAGGTGGTGACAGTGTTAGTAACAGGTGTATCAGGTGGTGTTACAGTACACTCCTGCAGGTGGTGACAGTAACAGCTGTACCAGGTGGTGCTACAGTACACTCCTGCAGGTGGTGACAGTGTTAGTAACAGGTGTATCAGGTGGTGCTACAGTACACTCCTGCAGGTGGTGACAGTGTTAGTAACAGGTGCATCAGGTGGTGCTACAGTACACTCCTGCAGGTGGTGACAGTGTTAGTAACAGGTGTATCAGGTGGTGCTACAGTACACTCCTGCAGGTGGTGAGTGTTAGTAACAGTTGTACCAGGTGGTGCTACAGTACACTCCTGCAGGTGGTGACAGTAACAGGTGTCCCAGGTGGTGCTACAGTACACTCCTGCAGGTGGTGACAGTAACAGGTATCGCAGGATCTCTGATAACCCTACCATGAACAACAAAGGGATGATGATGGTACAATCCGGTCTAGCAATGACAATGTTAAATCTTCCAAGTCAAGGAAACTACGAATGACATATGGAATTAACAATGACAGAAAAATTCCAGTGGAACTATCCTTCATATTGCACATGGCAAATTGTACCAAAAAATTGTACAGCTTGTACAGGGTGTGGCAACGTGTGGTTGTGGTGGTGGTTCTGTGTTCTCACCTCTACAGAAATGTGAACAATTTGCTTCAGAACACAGCATGTGTAGAGATTTATTCAGAACTTGATATTTTCCATTGATAACTTGTATGTTACTGAAACACAAATTCACAAAAAAGTGTTTATACCAGAAGAAGTATAAGGTCATGATGATGCTTTGAAGAGTTTACCTGGAGAGAGTTTACCTGGAGAGAGTTTACCTGGAGAGAGTTTACCTGGAGAGAGTTTACCTGGAGAGAGTTTACCTGGAGAGAGTTTACCTGGAGAGTGTTTACCTGGAGAGAGTTTACCTGGAGAGTGTTTACCTGGAGAGAGTTTACCTGGAGAGAGTTTACCTGGAGAGAGTTTACCTGGAGAGAGTTTACCTGGAGAGAGTTTACCTGGAGAGAGTTTACCTGGAGAGAGTTTACCTGGAGAGAGTTTACCTGGAGAGAATTTACCTGGAGAGAGTTTACCTGGAGAGAGTTCCGGGGGTCAACGCCCCCGCGGCCCGGTATGTGACCAAGTGTAGTGACACCTGTCGATGATTTAAGGAAACACACTGCTGAAGAGGACCTCAGATGGAAAGCGAAACACACAGTCTCTGTTTACATTTTCCTCATATGGGTTTCCTCAATTCAATGTTACATCATGTTTCTGTTGGTGACCATCATTATCTTACTACATTAAAAAATAAAGTAATATAGATAAACTCAGATTAATTATATTGTCCTGATACATTTCTGGACGTTTAGTCGTTTAAATAATTATATAATTACCTTCAGGGGTGGCTGCCTTCCACGACTCCTCAAGACATCTGCGCTCCTCAGGAGATATTGTGTACTTCTGGTGTGTAGGGGCAGGTGAGGGCGTGGAGAGATGGTCACCTGTGGACCCCTCGTTCATGCTCCCTCCATCCCACAGAGTCGAGGGCACCTCTACAGTGGGTGTTCCCACCGTCAGGGTTGACGCAGAGTACTGGGTCGGCATATCTATGATGGATGTTCAAGATTTTGTTATTTATGACGAGCGAGTAATATATCATCTTAATCTTAGAGTGGGAGGGCGTTCAAATTATTTTGGTCAATGCGGAAGCAAGTGTAAATATGGAATTTTCCACAGTAAAAGGAATATCAGGTTTTAGCTCAGGTTTTATTTTTGTCTTTGAAAACCGTACATTAAGATTTTGTATTTACAATAGTGGGTTGCAATGCGAAGACAGCCTCTGTTATGTCTAGGTCACCTTGGTTGACTGTTTTACGTAGACTTTTCTCGTGGGAGTAACTTTTATTACCGGGAGCAGACGAGTATGTAAAGTACTGATGAGAGGTACAAGATACACTGGGAGTATACATTACCACGGGAGGCAGGTACAAGATACACTGGGAGTATACATTACCACGGGTGGCAGGTACAAGATACACTGGGAGTATACATTACCACGGGAGGCAGGTACAAGATACACTGGGAGTATACATTACCACGGGTGGCAGGTACAAGATACACTGGGAGTATACATTACCACGGGTGGCAGGTACAAGATACACTGGGAGTATACATTACCACGGGTGGAAGGTACAAGATAAACTGGAAGTATACATTACCACGGGTGGCAGGTACAAGATAAACTGGGAGTATACATTACCACGGGTGACAGGTACAAGATACACTGGGAGTATACATTACCACGGGTGGCAGGTACAAGATACACTGGGAGTATACATTACCACGGGTGGCAGGTACAAGATACACTGGGAGTATACATTACCACGGGTGGCAGGTACAAGATACACTGGGAGTATACATTACCACGGGTGGAAGGTACAAGATACACTGGGAGTATACATTACCACGGGTGGCAGGTACAAGATACACTGGGAGTATACATTACCACGGGTGGCAGGTACAAGATACACTGGGAGTATACATTACCACGGGTGGCAGGTACAAGATACACTGGGAGTGTACATTACCACGGGTGGAAGGTACAAGATACACTGGGAGTATACATTACCACGGGTGGCAGGTACAAGATACACTGGGAGTATACATTACCACGGGTGGCAGATACAAGATACACTGGGAGTATACATTACCACGGGTGGCAGGTACAAGATACACTGGGAGTATACATTACCACGGGTGGCAGGTACAAGATACACTGGGAGTATACATTACCACGGGTGGCAGATACAAGATACACTGGGAGTATACATTACCACGGGTGGCAGATACAAGATACACTGGGAGTATACATTACCACGGGTGGCAGGTACAAGATACACTGGGAGTATACATTACCACGGGTGGCAGGTACAAGATACACTGGGAGTATACATTACCACGGGTGGCAGGTACAAGATACACTGGAGTATACATTACCACGGGTGGCAGATACAAGATACACTGGGAGTATACATTACCACGGGTGGCAGATACAAGATACACTGGGAGTATACATTACCACGGGTGGCAGGTACAAGATACACTGGGAAGAAGATGTTGGGGGGGGGGAGAGTATTAGATTAAAACGACAGTATAATGAGGCGTGAGTGAATCCTGTGTGTGAGTCGTGTAGCCGCTAGGGACCCAACCCTCACCTCACACCAACACATGGAGGAGTGCGTGTGTATGGTAATACTTTAAAGTAGCGGTGTTGAGGCTGTTGCAACAGTGATGTTGAGGCTGTTGCAACAGTGATGTTGAGAGCTGCTGCAACAGTGGTGTTGAGAGCTGCTGCAACAGTGGTGTTGAGAGCTGCTGCAACAGTGGTGTTGAGAGCTGCTGCAACAGTGGTGTTGAGAGCTGCTGCAACAGTGGTGTTGAGAGCTGCTGCAACAGTGGTGTTGAGAGCTGCTGCAACAGTGATGTTGAGGCTGCTGCAACAGTGATGTTGAGAGCTGCTGCAACAGTGATGTTGAGGCTGCTGCAACAGTGATGTTGAGAGCTGCTGCAACAGTGGTGTTGAGAGCTGCTGCAACAGTGGTGTTGAGAGCTGCTGCAACAGTGGTGTTGAGAGCTGCTGCAACAGTGATGTTGAGAGCTGCTGCAACAGTGGTGTTGACAGCTGCTGCAACAGTGATGTTGAGAGCTGCTGCAACAGTGGTGTTGAGAGCTGCTGCAACAGTGGTGTTGAGAGCTGCTGTAACAGTGGTGTTGAGAGCTGCTTCAACAGTGGTGTTGAGAGCTGCTGCAACAGTGGTGTTGAGAGCTGCTGCAACAGTGGTGTTGAGGCTGCTGCAACAGTGGTGTTGAGAGCTGCTGCAACAGTGGTGTTGAGAGCTGCTGCAACAGTGGTGTTGAGGCTGCTGCAACAGTGGTGTTGAGAGCTGCTGCAACAGTGGTGTTGAGAGCTGCTGCAACAGTGGTGTTGAGAGCTGCTGCAACAGTGGTGTTGAGGCTGCTGCAACAGTGGTGTTGAGAGCTGGTGTAACAGTGGTGTTGAGGCTGCTGCAACAGTGGTGTTGAGAGCTGGTGTAACAGTGGTGTTGAGGCTGCTGCAACAGTGGTGTTGAGAGCTGGTGTAACAGTGGTGTTGAGGCTGCTGCAACAGTGGTGTTGAGGCTGCTGCAACAGTGGTGTTGAGAGCTGCTGCAACAGTGGTGTTGAGGCTGCTGCAACAGTGGTGTTGAGAGCTGCTGTAACAGTGGTGTTGAGAGCTGCTGTAACAGTGGTGTTGAGAGCTGCTGTAACAGTGGTGTTGAGAGCTGCTGTAACAGTGGTGTTGAGAGCTGCTGTAACAGTGGTGTTGAGGCTGCTGTAACAGTGGTGTCGAGAGCTGGTGTAACAGTGATGTTGAGAGCTGCTGTAACAGTGGTGTTGAGAGCTGCTGTAACAGTGATATTATCACAGTATTGTGTCTTAGTGACAGCAACAGTGTGACAGAGATGGCGTATTTATATTATATTCGTGTATTAAACTTGTGTGGGTTATTCATTGCCAGGAATAGAATAGTTACTATCCTACGTTAACGACGCCACAGATGGTTCCTAACAGTGTTCACTTAACAGGAACTTTGAGTGGACAAATAACATAGTACACGGAAAATGCTGACAGCAGACCTAATGGTCTATATCAGGGCTGTTTTTCTGAGTACTGACTACAGACTTCAGGGACGGATCTATGAAACTAGTGAAGATTAAGTTTCAGGGCCCCTAATCCTGGAGGGGCCTCATAAGCCACTTTAGTCCACATTGCTTAAAAATTTCGGGTCTACTGTTTGAGAAGCAGTTGCAAAAGGGCCCCCTCATAACAGTTCAAGCTTCAGGGCCCCTAGAATGTAGGTCCACCACTGACTACAGTACAATGATAACCCGCACTTAGGAGAGAAAAAGCTTACGATATTTATCAAGATTGCCAGCATTGTCAAGCCGACAAGCTTGACAAAGTTCATGGAGAGCAAAACGTTGCCACAATAAAATGTTACATTAGTTGTACCTGTGTCCATATACCTGACATATGGATCATTACCAGAGCGTCAGCTCCCTTTGTCAGCAACTACAATTTATCATTTGCTTTGCCATTCTCATTGATTCTCCGCTTCCTTTCTTAACGAATAGCAGTTCATAGTTATTCTGCTTATCCCTCTGTTCACTCTGTCGTCCTCAGCGTTCTGTATTCTTTCCATGATCTTATGCTCCTTCATTTATGTGTCCCGTACAGGTTTACCACTTTCCCTCGTGGATATAATATTTGGGCACCTCTGCATCTCCTGACAGACATGAACTTTGCTGATGCTTCCTAACACTCTCTAGTGAAGCCCGGTATCACCTCGGAAGCTGTCTCTCTCTCTCCTTATTCCAGAGAGAGAGAGAGAGAGAGAGAGAGAGAGAGAGAGAGAGAGAGAGAGAGAGAGAGAGAGAGAGAGAGAAAGAAAAACTTGCCTTAAATTTAATTCATCCGAATGCACAGAGTATCAACACAGTCAACAAGCATGTGTGTATATATTGTTGACACATCTGCAACAGTATATCCAGCAATCTTTATCACATCAGCTGGTCGTTAAGCTACAGTAAAAATAGCTTTAAACACAGGAAGACAGTACTAGTGTTTTTCACAACGCAGTGACTCGAGTTCTCAGGTCGACACACACTGAGTGAGAACGACCTCACAAGTCGACGCCCTGACATACACTGACACGCTCCCGTCTAGGCTCCAGAAGGGACCAGGGAAGACGACGCATGCTTCCTGTGGTCACCTGTCTCTCCCCCACAACACTCGACATTATGGAAGGTAGTGAAGGCAACGGGAGCATCAGCGTGTGGGAGAGAAACTGAGATGTGCGAGAGAAACCTGAGGTGTGGGAGAGAAACCTGAGGTGTGGGAGAGAAACCTGAGAAGGTGTGTGAGAGAAACCTGAGAAGGTGTAGGAGAGAAACCTGAGAAGGTGTAGGAGAGAAACCTGAGAAGGTGTGGGAGAGAAACCTGAGAAGGTGTAGGAGAGAAACCTGAGAAGGTGTAGGAGAGAAACCTGAGAAGGTGTAGGAGAGAAACCTGAGAAGGTGTGGGAGAGAAACCTGAGAAGGTGTGGGAGAGAAACTTGAGAAGGTGTGGGAGAGAAACTTGAGAAGGTGTGGGAGAGAAACCTGAGAAGGTGTGGGAGAGAAACTTGAGAAGGTGTGGGAGAGAAACCTGAGAAGGTGTGGGAGAGAAACTTGAGAAGGTGTGGGAGATATTCAAGGAACAGTATCTGTTAAATCATAACAACAGTGCAAAAAATATACAAAACTATATAATTGAAGAATCGCGAACGAGCGATACAGGATGTAAAACAGCCACAGGGGGAGTTGAATAGTACATCTGGGCCTTTCGTGTTGCAATCAACACATCAGGAGCTTGCAAAGTTGCAGAAATGAGTAAGAGATCTCAGGGGATTATTTCCGAGGGACGCTTGCGTCCCTCGAATCGAATCTGTTGAGATCTCCTACTCATTTCTGCAACTTTGCAAGCTCCTGATGTGTTGATTGCAACACGAAAGGCCCAGATGTACCA